ATATATATATATATATATATATATATATATATATATATATATATATATATATATATATATATATATATATATATATATATATATATATATATATATATATATATATATATATATACTTAATATACACCAAGTTCTATATATATATATATATATATATATATATATATATATATAGAACTTGGTGTATATTAAGTTTATAGACACATAGGGCACCGAGCTTTCTTAAAAGAGGTTCGCAATGAAAAGTTCTGTGTGCACCAAATATAATCCTGCATGCATGTTTTTTCTTACTATAAAGTTTTTTCAATTTGCCATAATTAGTACCCCCGTACAACATTGCAGTATAAGATAAAACTACGAATAAATGAAAAGTATATTTTTTTAAGGGAAGAATTGTTAACGTATGGTTTAGTTTTATATAATATACACTTCTTGTATTATATAATATATACTTCTTTATATTTTATTTTCTATATATTCTATATGTGGTTTCCATGACAAATTTTCATCTATTATTAGTCCTAGAAAATTAACGGTTGGTTCCCTTTTAATAAATGTTTTATTGATAAGGATATTGGGTAATTTTAGACGAACATCATCACCATTACTAGGTTTGAAAAATTAAATAAATTTAAATTGTTTTTTCTTCATTAAACGAAAGCCTCTTACTTGGAATCGACTCGTTTATTTCAAATAGTTCTTCACTAAATATATTAAAGAGAGTCTCTGTAATCTTTGTTGGAATTGAAAAGATTGGAGTCGTCTGCAAACAATATAGCACTTAAAATATTTGATGCTAAGTATAAATCATTTAAATAAAATAAAAATAATAATGGTTCTAAGACTGAAACTTCGGGCACACCACATGTAACATGTTTCTCTTTTTACTTTTTTTAATAAATAAAACATTGTGACCTGTTCGCTGGGTAGTCTTCAAACCAAAGTAAATTTTTATATTTTATTATCTAGAGTAAAATAGTCATTATTGAATGCATCCGATACATGATTAATTAGTTCGATTACAGCATGGTTAGTGGAATTATCTTTTTAAAATCCAAATTGTTTAATGTACAGCAAACTGTTTCACATCAAATAGTTGTAAAGTCTATTGTACATAATTTTTTCCAATAACTTTGAGAAGCAGGGTAAAACGAAATCATGGCCTACTTAAATTTAAGTAGGCCATGAACGAAATAGGTTTGTAGTTTTTAACATTAGTTTCGTCAGTAGATTTAAAAATTGGAGTGATTATGGCAACTTTAAGTTTTTTCGGCACAACACCTAGTTTTAATGAAAGATCAAAAATATGAAACAATGATATCGAAGACTGACTTAACAACATTCACACTAATTTTGTCAATGCCCGCACTTTTATTACTTTTAGGACTGTTAAAAGCATTCCTTATGTCGCTTAGATTCAAATTAGATTCTTCCATAATAGAATTACATGATTTAATATAAGATTCAAACTTTGTGGTAGTTGAAAAAATTTTATTCGCCAAGTTGGACCCTACTTGGACAAAAAATGAGTTGAGTTCTTTAGCTTTTTTATTAATCATAAATCATTTTTCCATCAATTAAAATCTTTTGTGGGAGATTATTTTTTTCAAATTCATTTTTACCAATTATTTGTTTAATTATAGTTTTTTTACTGTCGCTGTTGGTTTTTTCCAACAACTTTGCATAATAATTTTTTTTGGAGTGTTTTTTGGTTTTTTTCAAATAAGTTTTTATATTTGTTGTAGTTTATTTCATTTTTATATGTTTATATCTAAAATATTTATCATAAAGTTTTTTCTCTGATGATTTTATCAATCCCTTGGTCATCCAGGGGTTTAAAAAAAAGATTTTATAATCATTTTCTTAACAGGAAATGCTATGTCATACTGTTTACAGAATTGGGCTAAAAATACTTCATATGCCGTATTAACGTCATAGGATTGTAAAATAACATTCAAATCGATATTTTCTGTTAAAAGAGCTCGAACCCAGTAAGCACAAGACGCATTTTAGACACTTATAGACGTCTAAAACTAATCTAGGTAAAGACGCACTTTTATAGACGTTTTGAAGACATTTTCTAGACGTCTTTAATAAATGCGCTTTTAAAATGACGTTTAAAATGCGTCTTTTTAAAGTTTAAAAAGACGTTTAAAAGACGCATAATAAATAGTCTAAAAGACGCATTAAAAGACGTCTAGATCAAGGCTAAAAGACGTCTTTTCTGTGACCTGTTTATAAATATGTCATTATGACTTCTTTTTGACGGCTTTGTCATTACGCGTTAAGAAGATGTCGTATATTCAAAGTAAAAACATAGTTTTTATTATTTTCAATAATTTGTTCAAGTTTTAAGTGTAAATTACTTTAAATTAAATTACTTTTTTACACAATTGCTAAAATTGTTGTCACAGGAATCACTACAATAATTGCTATAATATTAATATATCTTTTTTTTATTAATAATTATTTTGCTTTTTTAATAGATAGTTGACTGATCATGATAATAAGTGAAAATGGCAAGAATAATATATAAGTTAAATATCAGTATTTTTAGTTTTTATACACCCATAAGCCATATAATAAGTCAAGTATGCGGTCAAAAATTAGCTATCAACTAATAAGTTAAATGTTATTATAACAAAAAATAAGTTATTAATGTTTTAAACACTGTTTTGATATATATATTTGTTATTGTTTTTTATTACTTTCATCTTTGATGCATCAACCGTTGGTGGTGATTACAGCAATATTATTTTGATTGCTGGTTCATATGTATATTTGGTATAAACGAAATTAAAACAAAATATGATGTTATAAATACAATGAATATATACCACATACTACGCAAAAGTGTTACGTCATGTACTTAAATTTAACTTGAAAAAAACGTTTAAAATACGTCTAAAACGCGTTTTTATAAAGACGTCTTCATTTAGACGTCTTTTAGCCTTATGATCTAGACGTCTACAAGTGCGCCTTTTAGACCTCCTTAAAGACATCTTTAAAACGTCTTTTAAACGTCTTTGTGTTTACTGGGAAAATACAATAAGGTGTTTTCGTTGATGTGTCGTGTTAAGATGTAGTTTTTGAAGGGACATTATTTAAGATTATGTTATCATTAGTTAAGAATATTGGAAAGTGATAAGTTAAATCAGGTTTGATAATGCCTTTTTCTAAACGACAGTTTTGAAAATTGACACCAAAATCCTTACCATCCACAAATCTCGATTTTTATTTCACTTTCTACTCAACTTATATTTAGACCAAGTATTGGCTAAAAGAGTTAAACGTGAAGAAATGCAAGTCCACGCACCAATCAAGAAATGTAAAACCAGCCTAAGGAGTTTGACTCCCTTCGGGTTCTCAATAAGAGATTTGGGTCTTTAACTAAAAGTTATCAGAACTAAATATAAAAAAACCACCTCAAGCTAAATGTCTCTCGTCATTAACATGATGGCTATATTCAGAACTTTAAAGCTGACAGTAACATCATAATAATCAACATACTTACATACATATATTTACACTTCATTTTATACACAAAACCCTCCATAGTTTTTTGAATGATTCTACTTTTCAATATCGCAAAGTTTACCTGAATCGTATTCTATTTTCCTATTTATTAAGAGTGTATACGAATAAATAAAAAGTCCAACTAAATTAGTTTATAATTTATTTGTTTATAATTCAACTTTAGCGACAATAACCGCTTTACATATTCTCAGCATTTTACTTAAGGACTTATCCAATATGTTGTGTCAACTTTATGCCGACTTTATGTCCAAACTAATGCTTAGTGATACAAAAGATAGTTTCTACATCTTTTGCATCATTAGGGATTACATTTGACATAACTTTTAATTCATCTCATATAACTTTCTAACTCAGTCAAATAAATTATGAAATATTTTGAAAAACATGTTTTTGATTTAAGCTAAGCTTTGTGCCGTTTTCTTTAAGAAAAAATGAATGACTTTCCATTAACCCATCCTTCCGAAGGTGTTCCATGAATTTTTTTAAATGTCAAACAAACTACTTTTATTATTACTCCCTCTATTTTTACAATGTCACCATGGTAATCCGACCAAAACAGTCTCACACCCTAACACTACATGTTTCACAGTAGGTAATACACACTGTTTTGTCATACTTTCAACATCTTTTCTTCGAACAAACATCCTTCTTTTGAAAACAAAGATTTAAAACTTCGACACGTTGCTTAACGTTTCCATTCAAAGTTGGCCCATTTTTTGTATTGTTTTTCCCACTTTAGTATTTTTATTATTTCTTTAATTTCTATAAAATTAGTTTAATCAAAATGCTTTTATATTTATCAATGATTTATAATTAAATAATTGTTATATCTAATAATGGAAAAATAACATTAAAATTTTTTTACATTTTAAAGCATTTTAAAAACTTTTATGTCATTTGAGTATTTATGGACTGTAGTGCAGTTCCGTTAATACGCGATCCCTCATTAAATACGCAACGCTATATTCAAACAAATAAAACAAAAAAGATAATCAAAATCAAAATAACCGTTTAGGTTTATTGAAAACCATCGCGCTAAAGGATAAGTGATCTCCTACTTCTATTTTTAAAACAAGTATAGCGTTTGACGATTTCTAAAAATATATATAAATTGCCGTTTCATATATTTTTACCTTTGAGTTTTAGAGTTGCAAGCAATCCAGGTTGCATAAGATTTCTTTAAGTAATCGTGCAGTATTCTACAAACTCAAAATTTATAAATATTTTATGCATTGTTTATGAGTTTATTTATGTATTATGTTTTAATTATTCATTAATTATTTATTTATAAATAAGTACCAAAGACTTTTTGAAATTATAAGAATATTGTTAACAACGCTAACATTTTTTTTGGTTTAGACTTTATTTAAATTATTATAAATAAACGTGTGCATGCGTTATGCACGTGTGTTTGTGCATCTATGAGTGTGTATTTGCGTGTGTGTATTCAGCTTGTTTTTTTTTATATGTTTTTTATATGTTAAGTGTGTTTATATACTTGCTCAGTTTCTTTTACAATTTTTTTAGAAGAAAAGGAATAATAGTTTAATAAAAAATGAGATTTGTTGTTTTTGCTTGCGTTCTTTTTATGTTGATGACAACTGTTGCATGTACCCATAACGGTGAGGTTTTTTTTAAATAAAATGTAAAGAATATCTATGTTTTTAATGTTTACCTATTATAAATATCTTTTTAAGCCTAATATTCATTGATTTACTACAAAGTATGTAAAATATAAACCTTACTAAAAAGTAAATTATAAACCTTTTAATTCCCTAAACTAAAAAAAAAAAATTTAATTATATATTTTTATTATATTTTTAATATATTATTTTTTTTATACAATAGTATAATATACTGCATTGTTATATTATATATTGCTATATTATAGCAACATTTTTTAATACATTAAATACATATTTATTACATTAAACACATATTAATTACATTAAATACAATCTAGTTACATTAAGTACAATTTAATTACATTAATTATAATTTAAAATATGTTTTTAGATTTAGAGTGGGTGTTGTTAAAAAAAAATGCTTGTTTTCATGCTAAAGATAACCAACCAGCAGTCGTTCCTGTAAATAAATCAGGGTGGTTAGTTGCAGCTAAGCTTGTACATGTTAGTGGTATTATGAAATGCCACCCGTCACTTCCAGGGAGCATTTTTGGCTGCGTTATCGACAATTTATTTAATGTCTTTATTTGCGATGAAAAACGACAAATTATTTTTCCATCTCCAAACCAAGCAATTACTTATGACCCTTATAAGAATTATCAATACCGTGGATTTACAGCAAACGACAATGAAGTAGTTTTTACCGATTTGAGTTACCCTGTTTACTTAAAAGCTGGAAAAAAAGTTACAATTTGGAATGGGGAGGATCTTTTTGACCTAACAGAAGAAGATAATTCTGGAATCGTTTGCGTTGACGTTTACGGTTCATTCCTTACTACTTTAAACTAATCTGTGAAATTAACTTCTTTGTTGTAAATTATAATTGATATTAAATTAAAAAATACATTTAAAACGTTTTTTTTTTTTTTGTATTATTTTACTTTTAGAATGGCATTTATAGAAACAAAAACAACAACAAAAAAAAACATTCTTCCACTTATGAAAAAGAATCAAAGAAGTTTTTATTTTAAAATTATTGATAAAGTTTTATTTTAAAATTATTGATAAAGTATTATTTTAAAATTATTGATAAACTTGAAATATATCGAAATATATCGATATATCGGAAATATTGACACCAAAAAAATAAAAAATACTTATAATTATTCGTTTTCTTTTTCCACATTGGAAAAAACAAACAATTTTAAAGTGAGATCTATACTTTTATAGTTGGATTTTAAGACTTTTAAAACAATTTTTTTATATTATGCTATATTGTCAATGCATTATTATCAGAATGTTCATTATGTTAAGTTTTCTGTCAATGCAAGCATTGTAATACAGTTCTACATTAGTAAATGTTATAAATATTACAGGTGGTAATTCTCGAACTGTTTGTTCCGGTTACTACTTCTGGAATTGTGCGTGTTGAGTTCGTTTTCGGCTCATTTAACTTTAATTTAAAAAGTTTACTACAGTAACAGAAGCATTATTTTTGTTAGCGAACGACAAGGTATGTGTGGCTTGTGATAGGAACACTCTAAGCCGTAATAGTCCAAGAGAAGTAATAAAAAGTTATTGTATTTAGTGTAAAGTAATCAAAAATTTAGTTCAAGTGTTAGTGTAAAGTTATCAAAAATTTGACAGATGTCCAGTGAAAAAATTAAGACTACGTAGACAAGAAATGAGGGGAGGGGAAAATGAAGAGGGAGATGTTACCTTTATCATTTGACTATTATTGTACTATAGATTTGGCTGGTATTACATATGTTTATGTGTTGTTTGTGCTGTGCCACGATATGTCTTAGTGTTGGAATTGTGACCCTTGACATACCATATCATATACCTTACCATTTTGGGTTTGGATAATCATTGATCTCCATTTGTTTTAAAATAAACATTTTGATTTGCTAAACTGTATTTGAAAAATCAGCATTACCCTTCTGTAAAATATTTTCCTATGCATTTATGCAAAAATTTAGGATTTAGGTTTGGGCAGGTCTCCATTTACATATATATATGTATACAATTTTGTTTGCAAAATAGTTTGCAAAATGGTTTAAAATTAGATGTAAAATACAAAGAAAGTAACTCTAAACTAATTTTTTTTTCCAATGACAGACTTTTCTTAAAATTAGAAGAAATATATTAAAAAATGATATCAATAGAAGTAGCAATTTGATTTTATCCTGTCAAAAATAAAAGTAATAAGTTTTTAGCAGTGTCATTTCAAACCTTCTTTTACCTACATTTCATTATTTTTAATTTACACTTTTAAGATCAATAAGACTATTGGCAGATGTATATTGAGCCTGCTGCAGAGGTGAAATTTGAATCATGGTAAAACCACTGAGGTGTTTTGTGCTAGCGATAACATCTTTTGATCAAAGTATAAAAATGGTAAAAAGTTGTGTATTCAAAAACAAAGGGAGGTCCGAAAAGATGTTATAACGGATAGAATCAAAGCTGAAATCCTTCTAAAAGCAGTTTTTGTTGATAAAGACCAGCCACTAGGTCTTGAAAAATTTAGGGATGAAATGTTAGGGTTTTTTAATTTCCAGCCTCCAATCATCGCAATATTTTGCAAAGCATCATTATTTGACATAAGTATAAACATACAAATATTTTGAGTTTGTGCATATCTGTTAACTATCTCAAACACCAAAAAATGCTGAATCCTTCACTGATCTGTGGTTCGATGCCTACTCTAGGCTTTTTTTCGACTTGAAAGAAACGTTAACTTCCAAGTTAAATACTCTTCTGCGGTGCTCTCGGAGCACCTAAAATAATCACAGAAAAAATGTGTAAATATATTTTGAATCACATTGATACGTTTTGATCTAGTTTAGTTTACAGCAATTTAAAAACAATTTACTAAACTTAAACAAATTATACAAATTTTCATTTTTTTAAATAATTTTTTTTTATAATATATCTGTCGTGTTATTTACGTCTATCTGTTTTATTTTTGTGTAAAAAATATAAATAGATGAATTTAAATCCTGAAAAATCTTTTTCAATTTTAAATCTCTTTTAATATATTTAAATATATACTAGCAGTAAGCAACCCGTAATACGCATTGTTAGTAAATAAAATTAAAAAAAGAAACCGCGTATAGAAAAGTCTAGAAACTACTTTAAAATAGAAAAGCCTAGAAAATGATGTAACTCGACTAATAATAATAATATTAAATTAGCGTATTCATATTATCAGATTACGTATTGTATTGAGTATGTATACTTATATATACCAATTTGTAAATTTTTTTTATGAACGTTAAACAATACGTTATTTTTTTATATTTAACTTATATTACTGTACGTGTCAGTAACAATTTGTAATTTTATTTTTTATTTAAAATTTTTTCTTTTTTTTGCAAACTTCATAATTTCTATTTTTCAAACTTTTAAATTTTTAATTTTTAAATGTTTTTTAATTTCTTATTAAACTTTTTAGATTCACTCTTTTGTAGAATATTAGAATTGGTAAGATTAATTTTTCTCTATTTCACAAAGGGGCTTGATGATACGACATTTTGTCTTCTTTCCCCAGTCAGATTTTATTTATATATCTAATTAATAATACTGAAATTAATAATGCCTGTTTGACGCGGAACCCTTGGCACCCAATGCAGTCGAGGTAGTGGCGAGAAAGAGTCGCAGCACTTTTTTTTATAAGAAAGCATGAACGAACGTGTATGCAAATATCTAACGTACATAAACTTCAAATTAAGAAATGTTAAAACATATGTTAAAACATACTGAAACATTTATAAAATTTATAGTTTGATTTTTCCTTAAAAGTTGCATTGCGTCAAGCTCTCCTTAATTTTAATCTAAAACATTTTTTTCCTTAAAAAAATTATTATAGAGTTTTCAAAACCTACGTATAACAATGTGCCATTGTGGCCGAGTAGATAGCGCGCCGAGCTTCTGAACAAATAAGCCGTGCACAGAGTGCCCAGGACATGAAAAAATTTATTTTTCTGACCTTTTATTTTTTCACTTTAAATAGTAAATTAATATTGTGTAAGGCATATAAAGGTCAGTGCAAAATTTTATTTTTGAAAATCATTGAGCCATTTTGTTTTTATAGCTGTTTGAAGTTGAAGAAAATATTGACGCAAAATATTAAAATTTAATGTGTGAATTATTTAATGAAAAATAAAAACTGAGATTTAAACATTTGTTTTGTGCAGTTTTGTTTATACCTAAAAAAAATTCTAAAATATATGAAAATATATTTATTTGATTAAAAACAAAAGTAACAGGAAAAAAAAGGTCGCAGGAGCCGGCAAATAAACTCAAATGTTTCATTCAATGTAGACTTTCTATTGTTTAAAAATTTCACAGTCCGGTTATCCCCGGAAATTGAGTAATTAAATTTGGTTTTTAATTGTTCGTACGGGTTGATACGAAGTAGGGATAAAACTGCCCAGAAATCTACCTGCAGCAGCATCATCATCATTCAGGGGTGATGTAGAAGAAGGAGGAGCTCCACAAGCTAAAAGAGGACGGAAATCAAAAAGACTAGGGTAAAAGTTTAGCTGTTGGCATTTATTTGAACTTCTTAAGCATCATGTTATTTGGGACACCCAAAAGCTATTTTTTTTACTTTTCATAATAAATTATCATTTAAATCAGTGATCAACCTGGAAAACGTACCTACAACAAAATGATGGATAATTTTGGGGACATCGAGGAAAAACATGCAAATGAAGAGGGAGTAGATAAGTCAGAATATTAAAAAGAAGTTGTTCAAAGATGTGAAAGAAAATGGGGGATAGAGGAAGGAGTAAAACTTCCAACAATATCAGTACAGGAAGCAGCTGCTTTAATCTACATTGAAGCAGCTGCTTTAATCTACAGCTTGGATCTATCCATGAATAAATATCAGGTAAAATATGCAATCAAATACTGTTATAATTAACTGTTTTTATAATTGTGCATTTAAATTTTAAATATTTCCCCAGGAGCTGAGACTTGAGCTTCTCCCAAAATTAATGTTGCCAACAAGGATTGATGTAGATACCTTTAAACGTACTTTGCTACCAAAGGAATTGAACAGTGATGACAAATAAACTTCATCCCTTGTCAACAATGTTTTTAAAGACACTGTTGAGTGTATCTTGGAATAAAAGGTTCTAAAAACCAAGTAATCTGGACCAATCCAACCCCTAACTCCATTAATTTTGCCAGGCCTGTTATTCTAGTGAAAGCAAAAAAAACTAGGAAGAGTGTAAAGGAGTATTTTAAACCAACTCTGAGTCAACTGCCTAAAAATGAAACTCAGCCTGTTCTTTCAGAAAATGGTTTACAAATATTTGTAAAAACAGAGATAAATATGGTTGATGGCAAAATGGTAGATTTAATGGTTGGTGATTCTGGAGCTTTTTGTCATTACTGCAAACGTTCCAGAAGTTATGCCAATGACCTGGTATATATACTACATGGGTTCATTATAGATACTTTTTACTTTCAGGCGTTTTAAAAAACGCCTGCAGTATGGATGATACAACAAATATGTTGAAATGAGATAATTTGACGCAAAATTTAAAAGCTCTTAACAAAAGCCACTAAACCAAAAGTAAATGCAGTTCGGCGCACTTAAAAATTTTAAGTATAGTGTATTATTTTTGCAAAGAAACATTATATAAATCTTTTTTTAATTTTAATATAAACTAATTCTTTTTTAAACTTTGTTGCGCTTAATCATATATATATATATATATATATATATATATATATATATATATATATATATATATATATATATATATATATATATATATATATATATATATATATATATATATATATATATATATATATATATATATATATATATATATATATATATATATATATATATATATATATATCACTTCCTGAAGAACCTACTGATGGTGAATT